GCCCTCGAGGTCTACACCGGCGTCGATCTCATCAGCCCAGACCAAATGCAGAACAACCTCCTAAAGATGACAATGGCAGTCAACCACCTGGCCATATTGGACACCCAACTGACTGACCATCTGATCCTCACCCGCTTGACGCTCTTGCCCGTCGAAGCAGGACAGCCCCTCGTTGTCGATGTCCTCGAGTGCTTCAGCACAAGAGTCAAATGGGCGGGCCGGAACATCGTGGTCAAGGCCAACCGTCCCGTTGAGCTGCGTGTCAGGGGCAAGTATGTGGCTAACCTGCACAAGACGAAGAGCTTGCAGAAGGGATGGACAAAGTCGTTCAACAAGAAGCCGGTGGACAGCATGGCGTTGGTGGTGGATGGAAAGGACGTCCCGCTGGAGCTGGTCCTGAGGGTGAAACGGGTAGTAACCAGCACCGAACAAACACCGATTTACGTCAGGTTCTGGAAGGAGTGGCTGGTGCCGATGTGAAGAAGCACAGAGGCAAGTAACCAAGTGGCGCTGGCAGAACTCGGGCTGGTCACGAGCGCTGATAACTCTGTGTCATGATTTATGGAACAATAAAGAGCGCGGTGGAATTGATTTTGCTCCTGTAGTTGCACGTCTATGTCCAGTCCTTCTCCTGCTCTAAGAGAGACACATTGCATCAGTTTCGCCGATCTCGGTCTGGGGGTTCTCGGCATCAGTGGAGAGAGATAGTGAGCAAATGGGAAAGCAGGACTACCTAACCCACCGGTGTACGTACTTTCCCACCTTGGCGGCGACCATGGAGAAGACCATGTGAGCTCGCAGGGACCAGTTGCCTTGTGTGCGTGGTGCTGGCATTTGTGTGCCCTTTCTGTGTAGCCTGATGAGTTCAAGGTGCTGTTTTATGAAACCAACGAGGGGATACAGAGCGGGATTCGGGATGTGGGCTGTTGAGAAGCTCGTTGCCATTTGGCATGCCCCATCCCATGCGGTGAGCCGTTTCTGACAGGTCTGGAGACGCCTGCTCTGCTGGTTGACCTGAGAGATCATCTCGACTTTCGTCGTGGGTCTCCTCTTGCGACTCATCGGCTGATTGCCAGACTCGGAGCAATGGCAGAAGCAGTGACGTATAAGCAAGCTCATGCAAAACATTAGATCCTGTTTTCCGTGCTCGTCCTGGGCAGCTGGTTGTGCATGTCCACCACCATAACGTCGTCAGCTCATCCAGCGCCAAGACTGGTCACATCGGACAGTGCCCCAGTCCTTCAGAGTCTTGGCGTCCGAGTTGGCATCGCTGCTGACCAGATGCCAGGTCCGGGATATCCCAGTCCTATGAGAGGAGAGACGGGAAGGTCCGGAGAGACCACCTCACCAGAGCAGGCCGTGAATGGTGTCACCTCGCAAGTTGGGCCCGGCGGTTGCGCGGGATCTGGATTCCACGGCCGGCTGTCGTAACACTTGATTTCTCTGCTCTGAAATTCATATCCGTAGAGCAGCGGGCATCAATGATGCCGTAAACTACAGTTATTGAGACACGTCCGCGTCAGTCATCACAGGCTGCGGAATGCCAAGAGACTTGATTAACAAATGTAACGGCTTGGCAAGGTTGGTTGCCGAAACGCTAGACGGGAAATGTAAGCTACGACGGCAGATTAGGCTTGGCGTCGTCTTGTGTCAACATCACCATGGTGACACCTGGTGGCCAGATGCTTCTCCTGGCAAGCTTGAGCGCCTTGTGAGGGCAGCTGCTGCGGTGAGCGCTGGTGTGACTTGTGTTGGGTCGCGGTCTCGTAGAGAGTGATTGCTTCGTCGACCTTGCCAACTACGTAGTAACGGCGACCGCCAAACGCACCGAGCCACCAGGTACACTTATGGCGCAGGTGAGTAGGCGGCGAAAACACAGCAGAAAGCAGCATTGGCGACGCAGGTCTATCATGTCGTGCAATCAAGGTCGATGAGCACAGCCTTCTTGGCAAGCTTTGAATATCCATCCATATCCGTTCCGAATCAGACCTTGAGTCAGGTCTCTAATCCGTATTCTCTTGGAAGTGGCTCGTGAACCTGGATTTCTGAAAAAGACAATGGTTGGTCTTGGAGGACAACGGTCAGTGCCAAGAAGCCACGAAGCTTGTTGTTCGGTGTCGATTTGGGCCGCAGGCTGAGCAGCGATGAAGATCTTGCGGGCTGTCCCTCGAATGCCAAGAAGTCCAAGATTAACTGTCAACAGGCTGTGTACAGATATGTCGGCCAATCAACAAGTGATAAGATGATGCTGTCCATGAGGAAGCATGATGCGAGTGAAGTGGGAAGAAGAGAATTTCCTGTCATTTTACGCAGACTTCTGCAATGGTCTTTTACGCGTGGCGGTTGATGAGCGATTCGGACCGGAAGGTCTCAGGGCGTCTGCTGCCAAGATGATCTGCGGCGAGGATGAGCGATGAATTGGGCTTGGCACGATATGCCAAGAATTGCTTGTAACGGGAGAATCGTGACTGCCAAGCATTACTGTGAGATCTGAGTTTCCGTTGAGGGCAGGTCCCCGTCTGGCAGCGGCAGCGCAGTTACAGTGGCAGCAAACCGCTAAAAAAGCAGCCGGAACATTCCGTTCTTTCGTTTCACTTTCATAATTCCGATCCAAATACATTGTTCCGGGCGGGGAACTGGGTATATCTCAGAGTCCTCGTGTTCTGTCTCCACTTGCAGGCATTCAGTGCAATCTTGCGTTGCAAGTAAAAAAAGGCTTGGCTGTCCAACCAGTCCATCCCCATCACAGCCGTCATCATTCTGCCTCGATCAAGTTTGCTGCTCACTTTCTCGTCCTTCTTCAGTTTCGGTAGATGGACCGCCAAGAGTAAGCCAAGAACTCTTCAGTGGGGGGAGGGAGCAAAAGGTACGACTGTTGTCTCACGCATGCCAGTTATAAATATGATATCTCTCCAGAGGCATTCTTGATCTTGGTCCTGGTTTTCTTTTCAGTTCACATTCTTGCATCTTTTAATCATTACCGTTCATCTTGCAATTCACACACTTGACCATCTGCCAGTGCTGAATTATCAGATTCCCGTTGTCCACACTCACCCATTTCTTCCGTTATTACACAGAGGCTCCAGGTCTCACCCAAACCCTACCCCTTTTTACCATCCACTGGGGCTGCCCACACACAAGCAACCATGGGGTCAGCAATGTCGAGGTGTACCAACGCCAACAAGAACGCAACAGGTCACACACACCACAGCTTCACAGAAATCAGCCAAATGTTTCTCGAGAGACAGCCAAACTGGCTGGTAACGCCCTCCCGCTGGAGACCGTCAAGTAGCTCGGCCCACCATTCCGCACGCTACCGGACGCCCACCCCCTATCCCAAAGACGACAGGAAGCGACTCGAAGAAGTCATACACATTCCCGAGAAGCCCACTGTCATAGAAGCCCACTCCACGCCAGTCGTAACACACATTGAAGTCACGACGAAACCCCCCCGCCAGCAAAAGTCCATGGACTCAGATATCCCTCACATCCAACTGCCTCCCTCGGCCCTATCAATATCCTGGGACACCAACAATCCACGTGTCAACCGATTCGAGCGGGTGGCTTGAGTGACGAGCATATCTCGCACTCCAAACACGCAGAGCCAAGCCTGGGGAGGGGGGAAGACGGCAGCATTTACAACAACCGCCATGCAACCCGACCCCAGATGGGCCGAAAAGGCTTGTAAAAAGGATGGCTTGAGGCATGCCGCATGGAGGGGGGAATATCAACCTAATTCCAAGCCAAGACGGAGTATTCGGGTGATTGAGAATCACCAACCAAGCCGCAGCCGACAAACGGGGCCAACGAAAACAAGAGAAGCAGTCTCCCCCACAAAAAGGTCTTTGCAGCTTTTCTCATTTTCCCCTTGGCTTTCGTGGAGAAGCCAAGAACTGGGGAAATATTCAAGCGGTCGTCGTTGACTTGCTGGAGGTTACAATTAGCCAGATTTAAGCGCGGCGCGACTACCCCCCCTTTTTGTTTCTGTTTTGTTTAAAAAAGCCTCCCTCTCTCCTATCCCGTGGCTTCGCTGGCAGACTTGGCATATTTAGAGATATCTTGGCTGCATATGGGGAAACAAGCAACCATGGACCATGTCCTCCCGCTCTTTGGAGAAAGGAAGTCTTGGCCGCACACCTGCACATTTATATATAAGGTTTTTGGCAGGCTGCAAGCCACAACGGCTCACCAAGAGAACTATCAAGATTTCATGCATGGAAACCTTGGAGAAGAAGAACCAAGAAACGGTCCGAGGTGGGGGACAAGACGGGTTGTGAATGAGAAGCGCAACACAATGACGTTTTCTCTTCTTGTTTGTTTCTATTGTACTGCACAGACATACCAAAAGGCTTGTTTCCTTTTTTGTTCTTTCCGTCTTTTATTTCCATTTTAATACCTAGCTTAGCTTACCTAGCTTTGATCAGCCAGACGTATGCAAGTCTCGGCAATGCTACTTTCAATGAAGCTTGCTCTTCTTTTTTTTGTTAACTTGTTACTGACAATTCCTCTTCCTCCTTCTCATGTTGTCTTGCTCTCTTGTGTCCAAGTAGTGTAGTGTAAGGGTCTAACCGCACCATACAGGAGGAAGTACTTGCTTCGTTCAATACAGCCATTTGTGCCAGTTACTGCTTGCTGCACTCTGTCTTGCAACCTTTCCCATGTCTGACAATGCAAGTCGAGCCGGGAACCCTTCCATCTAATCACTTCCGTCTCGTGACATTGCGTTGCATCGTCATGGAAGGGTAAGCAACCCAAGCGAGTCTTGGCCGAAAAGAGGTTCGGGATATGACAAGAGGTCCATACTGTAATCCTCCTCTTGACCAACATCTATCTCAAGTTGCAGAGCATAAAGACATGACCTGCCATGTCACCACCCGTATGCAGAATCACGACGATGATGGCTGAGAATGGAGAACCAAAAAGTGAAAAAGACAAAAAAGTGAAAAGACAAAAAATAACCAAAAGGAAACACAACACCACCGTCTCCATCGGTATAATCACGATCCACCCAGGGCTCGAACCTGGAACCTCCTGATTCGTAGTCAGACGCTCTTCCAATTGAGCCAGCGGACCTTGAACTGACTTATTGATGTATCTGACTCGCTGTGGATGCTTTTGTCGTGGCTGAACCTTGTTGTTTTGGTGTCTAAAAGTGGAAGGATCGTGTGTTGCGAGTCAGGTGTTCCCACTTTCAGAGTCAAGACCCAGCCACCTACCTATCAATCAAGCTTTAATAACAGGTACGTAAGCGGGTATAAAATGTTAGAGTTTGGTTGTCTAGATCTATGATGTGCAGTCGTGGATATCCGAGAGAGAGGAATCAAGAATGGTATGGACTCTACTGCCCTACTTATACTCTTCGTTCTGGACAAGAGGATACATACGACCATAGGCACTTGAAAACTCGGGATCCCGTCCGCTCTCCCATAGATAAACAGGTGACCGCTAGACTAGTAGTTGGGTCGGTGACGACCAGCGAATCCCTGGTGTTGTATGTTTTTTTTAGTCCCTTTTTACCCCGATTCCTCCCATAGAGTTGGCGGCAAAGGTTTCCGTTTTAGACTGGTCGTCATCATATATTCTTCTCGGACTGCAATTTCGATGTTAGTATTATACGTTAGAGTGCTGTGTCTGATGGGGGACAATTCCAATTTTGGGCCCGGTTGAGCGAGCTACGATCCCGTCGCTCGGAGGCAGACCAAGACCAGCCTTGTGATCGTCATGCCCAAATCCGGGGTGAGAAAAGGATATGTAACCCCGTATCACAGCATCCAAGGTGATCAAACACCTGATTGTGGGCTTGCATGCCTACCTTCTTTTCTCCTGGAACCATTAGACTGGTGTTTGCCAAATGTGGCACGTCACGGCGGCTTATCCATCCCAGAGTAACGCTTGTTTGGTCTAGGTTGAGATTCTCCCCAGTGGGCATGTTGTATTCCTGACACCTTGAAAGCTGACCTGAGTTGTGGGCCTGAAAGGGAGTCGCTTGGTATCACAGCAGACTGGCCGAGGGCACAACATGTACATATCTACTCGGGGAAACACTGCGCCAGGCAATTCTCTTGCTAACTTTCAACAACATAAAGACCATAACACGTCTATGCAGAAGCTTACAAGGTATAGAGCGGACAACTTGAATGTATTATATTGAGTGGGGTTGGCCATAATGAAACCCCCTTTTCCCCCAACGCACGCCGACTTCCAAGTCCTACACCGATTGGGGACTAACTAGGGTTATAGAGAAGACCTCCATTGCGATATTCTTGTGAGAAACGCCTCGGATATAGCTTGAACAGCCGTCTGCGTTAAAGCTCATCCTCCCCACCACCACCATCCGTGGACGTATTCGCCGGCTCACCTGGCGTCTTCGGCAGGAGCTTTTTGATCCTGGATTCATACTCTATCACTAGCACGGCTATACCGATTGCTATGAGCCACACACTTAACAAGTGCAGCCAGCCCCGGTGAAATCTCAGGCGGCCGTGCAGGTCTTCTATATGACTCTACATGAACCGAACTAAAACTTGGGTTACTTCGTTCACTATACCCTCGCTGATGTTTTCGATAGAGCGCTTCTCCAAGCTTTCGAGGCGGTTCTTGCTATATTCGAAGTCCTCGTCCATGTTTTTCTTGAGATCTTTGTGGTCGTTTTCCAAGCTTTCGAGGCGCTTCCTGGTCAGCCTGAGTTGGATTCGGGTCAAGACTTGCAACTTGTGACTGAACTCGGAAAGTTGCATGCGGTCGTTTTGAACATCCGATTTGATTTCATCCTTGAGCGAGATCTCCCAATTTCTGGGGAGGCTGTCGTCCATGCTTTCGTTGATGATGTTGATGTCGTTGCTGTCCTTGTTCAAGCTTTTAGGGCGGTTCTGCGAGCTTCCAAAGCGAGGTTGCTGGACAAACATGATGCTTTGGAGTTGTGCATTTCTGGGCAGAGAGATGGCGGTGCGTCGGCCGGCGACTGAAAATGAGCGAGCCGCGGTTGCGAAACGAGTAGGAAGTATGGTGATGATGAGTCGAAAAGTTGATGGATGATATTGAGTCGGGAAGTTGATGGTGAAACTTGAATGAAAAAGTTGGTAAAACTTGAGTGAAAAGTTAAAGAAACTTGAGCTGAGAAGTTGATGAATCAAACCTGAGTTGAAAGGTTGAAGATAGACGAGAAAGAAAACCGCAGTGGGAGACAAAGTCGATTAAATAGGCGGGAGGAGAGCATTGGAGGGAGAAAAAGCCAAAACCAAAAGTCATAAAGTTGACTCATTTTTGGGTCATGCCAGACGCAAAGTTTGAAGGGATTCAAAGTGAATATGGGTCTTAGGTCCATACCTGTGATCGCCAGCACCAGCTGACTACCCAGCGCTTATTTCTTTTGTCCATCACCAGGTCCGTATAAACAGCATTGAGTGCCACTCCCCCTCCGGCATTCCCAGGAAGTGACAGATGATGGTAATAGGCTTTTATCGCTGATAATCAGTATCTATACTCTACAAGTACCAAAAGTATCTTAGTCAAAATGTAACATCGTGCTTCGTTGACCACCCATGAGGGACACTCGGAGTCTTCCACTCCGGACCAACACCCAGCTCAGCCTCTCCCTCTCCCTGCCCCAAACCAGCAACTCTAAACCTCACAACTGGCTTCAGGACACTCAGCCTCCTCCCCCCAAACGCAGACTTTTCCCACGAGGCAAACAACCCCTCGTCGCCGATATCTTCCCTCAACAATTCCCTCACAACATCATCTCGCTCCCAGGCCGCCAACACAGTCCTCAGCAAATCCAAAACATGATGCTGGCCCCTCATCTCTCCCCACTGAAACCTCTGCTTACACTTTGCAACCACCTCCGTACTATACAATCCCACCTCCCTGGACAAAGCAAACATATTCCCCGCCACGATCGACGCATGGACGAGATAGCTCCCCCCCTTGGTGGCACGATCCCTCAACGCCATCAGCGCGCCCAACGCACCGACAGCCCCGGCCGTCATGTCACTGATGGGCAACGCAGGCAGGACACACTCGCCGTCCCCCAAGCCCAGCGAGCGTCCGATGACATGTGCCGCACCCGACGCACAATCTGCAATCTGCTGCCACCCAGGACGAGACGCATACACGCCGTCAACAGGACCGTAGCAGCTCTCGGTGACGTAAAGGATGCCTTTTTTTCGTTCCCCCGCCATCTTGAGTAGATCGTTCAGACCCAGTCCGTACTTGTCCAACACGCCGGGCCGAAATCCCTGGATAAAGACATCTGCCTGGGGGAGGAGATTCTCAAGCAGATATGCGCGGTCAGACGAGTCACGCAGGTCCAGGGACATGGTTTGTTTCCCCGCGTTGAGGGTCAGTTGGAGCGAGTTGATGTCGCGCAGGTGCGGTGCCGAGATGCGAATCACCGAGGCGCCAAGGGAGGACAGGATGGCGCCCATCTGTGGGCCGGCGATGATGCGGGTTAGTTCGATGACTTTGATTCCGCTTAGTGGGAAGGTTTCTTTCGGTGGGAATGGTGGGAAAGGAACAGGGCCTGTAGGGATGCCGTGTGTCTGAGGGACGACGTTCACAAGCGGGTGACGAGCTAAGGCCCTCCCCATGGTTGAATCGCACCATTCTTGTGGAGTAAAGCAGATGCTCCCGCAGAAACCCCCCGCAATGTTTTTCATTTCCAGTTCCAGCGGGGAATGGAGTTGCGTGGCAGCGGCAATGTACGAGGCTGCATCGGCATGGGTATCAATCCCCGGCTCGTCGGCGTCAATATCCAGCACCTCTTTGAGCATTGGGGGCTGATCTAGCGAACCATGGAGGGAATACCATCTTCCGGGTGTTTTGGTCGGATAGATGCCCGTCGCTCGGAGGCGCATGGCGTTGGATTGCCATCCGCGCTCCCAGTCTGGGAGCATTGGACGGAGACGACCTTGTCTGGCCAGGGATGAAAAGGACTCCCCGTCTAGACATGCTAGAGACACACTGGCTAGCCACAAGGCTGCGTGATTCGTATTGATTGCGACTTTGCGAGATGCCGTTGGGGCGGCGGCCGGATCGCCAGACTTGCCGGTGGTACGGCGGGGGTTTGGCACGCCACGGAGGCTGAGGATCTCATGGGCTACCAGGCCAATCATACCATGCAAGGCTGCTGCAATGGGGACGGATTTGATGGGTCCTGGGATGATGGGGTCAGAATCACCGACGAAGGTGACTCTGGAGAGCAGAGACTCATCTTGGGTAAAGCCAGGGGTTTGGGAAGCGAGGAGACGAAAGATGCGTGCGCTGTCGCCAGGAACTGAGGAGAATACGGCATCAGTGAAAGTACCGGGTCCGTAAACGTCAGGGAGCCTATCTTGATCCATGGTGAGTATGGATGTGGCAGGTGGGCGTAAAAGTTCACACCCCATTCACACCCACGTATGTGGTGATGATGTAGGTTATTGAGGAGACGGTAAAAGATGTGCGGGGGTGAACAGCCGGATCATTGCCAAGGTGGCATTGATGTTAGGCGGCCCTTCTAAGACAAGGGAAATGATATCCAGCTCTTGAAGAGTGGTTGAGCTTGTTACTGAATAGCACGTTTTCAAACCAACAGAAATGGATAAGATGTCATTGCTCACTTAATTTGAGTTTTGGGGTTTTGTGCCTCTGATGTTCTCTCGTTTTCGGGCATAAACTAGCCTCCTGGATCAAAGATACGTCTTAAGTCTTTCAATAAAGATATAGTGTACTTAGGGTCTTCCGTTGCACATAAAGCGTAGGAGAAAGTTATATGCATATAAGTTTCCCTTCAACTTCATCCTTTTCGACTCATCTACTTTTGTAAGAATGAGAAACCCCCGAGAGCGATTGAAATGGGATATATCAGGCCATGTTACTGCACCCTGCATGTATGTCATCGGATATTGGCCAAAATTCTGGACATGTACTCCTACGATGATGCTATTGGCTCCCAGATGTGCCTGGCTTGCAACCGTTTGCATGATTTATTTCCACATTCTCTGTACGCAGACGTACAACACGCAAGTATTGTTATGTGGCGCACAGAGCTGAACAGCCAAATTTGGGCAGGTGGTGCGTCATGCTTCTTCCCC